ACATCCAGCAAACATTGTAGACAAAAATCACAAAAATCAGTCACATGTGTATTCATTCTTCTTTGTTTGTTACTTTCTCTTATCCTCCCTCCTATTCTCCATATTCTGTTTTTTATTTTTTTTTTACCAACTTGTGAAATCACTGAATGTTGTCAAAGAGATGGACATCAGAGCTGACAGACACAATGTTTAGCAGAAAGGCTCCATCTGATAAGCTCCATTGCCTCCATTGCCTGAGTGCAGTGAAAGGTGTGGCGTAAAGACAGACAGGTATGCAGGCTGATAGGTGGGATAGGATGGAAGGAAGGAAGAGGGTAAAAAGAGCGAATAAAAGTGGGCTGGCTGACAACATTTGAACTACGGGTCACTTGCACACCAGAGGACCTAGTTTGAAGTCTGCTGTGAGAACAAATTTACACCCAAAGCAGAGGCTCAAATTAAGAAAACTGACTGTGAACAGGCATTAGAAGGAGAATCCGCCTTTTTTCCCTCCACATTCCTCGTTTTATTCCCATAGGGAAACAAATGCATTACTGGAATGGCAGAAAGGGGTCAAAACTGCTTTTTTTTCCAGCAGCACATCCAAAGGACATCACAGGTAGACAGCACTAATAGGATAACAGAGGAATTAAACTTCCACAACATGGACCTACTTTCAGGCAGAATTGGACAAACATGCAATTTATAGCCAGTGCCTTCCGAAAGTATTAATAACCCTTAAACCATCTCCCATTAAGAACAAACATAAATATATTTAATTTGTAATTTACATAAGACAAACAAAAAGCTGTGCATAGTTGTAAAAGGAAAAGCAATTGGATTTCGTTTTTTCATTTAAAAAAAATTCAATTCTACAATTCTTATAGGCATTTTCTTTCATTCTGATATGTTCATATAAAACATAGTGAAATAAAAACTGTCTTAGAAAAAAAGAAAAAGACTAACATCATGAAATTTCAGAGACACAGTGGAAAAAAAGAAGATTTTTTAAGAATAAAGGTGTGAAAAGGCTCATTAAAGAGTGGCGAGATTACAGCAGAAAAAAACAAACAAAAAAATGATAACAATGAAAAACGAAAGTGCTTTGACCAGTTGAGATTAAAACAAAAAAAATTTTTTTTTTGGCCTATTTGCAAAATGATTATAAGCGAAATGCAGATTGACAGAAGGCTGCATCATGTAGTGGGGTCGTTTGTCTTTAACAGAGGAAGGAAAACTTTTCAGTTAAAAAGAAGATGAAAGGAGCTACAGTAATTACAGAACAAAAGAGTTTGGATGGAATGGAGGTTTACCTTTCAGTAGAACAATGACCTTGAAGAAACAATGGAATGGTTTATGCTGGGTTTCAGCAACCTTTTTAATCCAATGAGCAATTTTAGTGTTTGTGAGCCATTGTGGGCAAGAAATGCTTGATCAATATAAGAAAGATAACTTCTAACATTTTGCAGCAAAAAAAGTCAACAAATTGAAGTAATTGAAAAAATTAAAGAATCAAAACTGCTATTGTCTCTGTCTTATGATTAAAAAGCAAAAAAAAAAATTAAAAGGGCAAACATTGCTTTAGGATTTTTCAACAAAGTGCATCAGGTATTTTTTTTCCTCTAAAGAAAATTAAGTAATTAGAAAATGACATGAAAATGAACACCAGTATCATACTTTGAGGGATTTCTTTGTACATGCCGCATAAAGCAAAACAAAAAAAACTCTATTTTTCATGTAATTGCTGTCCAAAGCTCAGCAGAAGGGTTACACATGACCCCGAACCCAAAGGTTGCAGACCCGGGGTTTAGATCTAAAAATGTTCATGCATTAGAATGAATAAACCTCCTAGATGTAGATCCAGTTTAGAATATTTGGTTTGAATATTGCTTCTCAGAGACATCCTACATCTGGTCAGACTGAGCTTTTTTGTACAGAAAAAAAATCAATCCCTAAAAATAAACCAAATCCGAAAGATTTTTTGTTGTATTTAGGCCAAATTTAGGTTTTTATCTGTATACGTTTTGAAAAAACATCTCTTCACATCTGCTGCTTCCTTATTATCCACTATCCTCTGCTGTTCTGTCATATAATTGACCAATTATACTAATTGAAGTGTGTGTTTGGAACCAGTATTAATACTTTTTAAAGGCAGTGGTTCTTCTCTAGAGTTATATTAGAGTTATATTAGTAACACATAAATTGAAATAGACACGTCTTTCATTCCGAGCCACAAAAACAGAGGGTTGCTCTGCATGTCTTTTTCAATACAGGCTCCTGCTAACGGATGAAAGCAATGAAACATCAGCTAATCAGTTGAAGCACCAAAGGTAGACACAGGTAAATCTCTGTAATTCATCATTTACCACAGACAACAAAGCAAAAGACAGAGGGAGGGTAAATTTATGAGGCACATGTGCAACATTAACAAGCCACATAGAATATAACTGTGATTTACTGGATTTGTAGAATGCAAACAGTAATAAAAAAAAAAAAGGAAATCAAATTGTTCCCAATGTCCTTGCTTTCCCTCTTCTGCACATCAACACATTGTCAGTGTCCCACACTGATGTCACCTTGGGCATATACAGGCAGTCATGCCACAGCTGTGATCTCAGCTGTCTTACTCTAACCCATCAAACCTGGATTCTAAAAACATTTCCTCAAGAGAGGCGCTAAGTATGCTGCCTACAGCCGGCTCTCTAGAAGGTCAGCCTGGGTCACTTAATGCCTAACATCAGTTGCTGCAGGAGTTCATTATTACAGATATGGAAATGTCAATAAAGCATTCAATTTATTACAAAAAATTATGTTTAAAGCTAAAATAAAAGTTGAAAATCATCTAAAAGTTTAACAACAGTTAAATATCTAAATTGTAAATCGAAGCATTACCTCTTAATGACTTAATTCCTTTTATTGGTTAGAGCCTTTTTAGGAGCATAAGGGAGACCAGGTTGTTGCTACGTTTAAAGTAAATGGACACAAATAATCGGATTGAAGGCCTGATCAGATCAAAAATGTTCCATATAAACATGTCAGAACAAAGATTTAAATCCGAGTTGCCATTCCGATTCCACTCATTGGGATCTTTGGAGTAAAATAATCTCCACTGCACGGATGCAACGTCAGCGTGACATTTGTCTCTTTACTCCTAACCATCATCCACTGGCTACTGCTCCTGGTTAAAGGAGGTGGCACTAAATGTAATATCTAGATAAGCATGACTTCATCCCCTCTACCTCTGTAGCAAATTATCATTAGCTTAAGTTACTGCTGAGCCTTAACTTTAATAAAATAACCACCAAAAAGAAAGTAAGGATACAAATATATGACACAGATCCATAATGATTAAAAACTACATTAACAGGCACAAAAATAAAGTGTTGGGCAGGCAAAAAGAGTAGCTGAATTTGAGGATGAGCGATACGGGTTTGTTTATAAAAAAGGAGCTTCTTCTTCTGCTACTAATGTGTTGATGGATGTGATGAAACGCTTCATACATGTATCCATGTCATGATCAGGATCAATTTATTAGTTTCCGCATAAACAGAGATTTAGCATTTCCCATCAACTAAGATTTAAATCAGATCGGGGGGAAATTTTAGGCATGTATAAGTAGCTACAGCCTTTGGCAGCTGGTCATAATGTTATGCCTAATCAGGGCAAATTAAATTAATTGGGAACATTAAGTGATTCGTCATCGGCTTTTGAAATGTATGTAATTTCTCCTGATGATGCCTTAGAAAATCAACCCCTTCTGGACCCCAAGTTCATTTGATAGGTTTTTAATTTATGCTAATTAAAACAAAAACAATCAAACCAGTTGATTAATTCCAGATTAGGGTGAGTCACTGTCCTTGTGTCTGAAATGGCAATAACCTGATGATGGAGAGAATATAAGCATCATGGGCTGATGCATCTGCAAATAAAAGGGAAATGCAACTACTATCTTCCATCTTGTAGCTTCAATATTCTGCTGCAGATTAAAAAAACAAACAAAACAGATTTAAATGTCCTTAAAATGCTTGACAGCTTGTTTTAGTCGTCCCAAGATTATGGCTGAAAGGTATTGGTCCTAAAATCAAACCCTGTGGATTACCACAATGCACTGTATTGTATTAATGATCAGATAAAAGAAATAAACCCTGATAAAAGTGATCTACTGTTCTACTGGTCTGAAATGACAAGGACATATTTCACTGACAGGGAGAAAAAGACTGGACATCATGGTCTGATGCATGCACAGATAAAGGAAACACAGCTGGTGTCTCAGAAACTTCAATCTGCCGCTACATGTCAAAAATATATGTGCAAAATAACAACCCCTCCCTCTCTCCTACTCACCCACCCACGCTTAAAGAAGAAAAAAAATTGGCTTGCACCTGCAAACTCGGTTTCCTAGAGGACATATATCCACCAGTTACCCTCAGGAGCGTCCCCAGCTTGGCATCAGATGATGAGTCTGTGCAAAGCAGGTGGCAGATCTGACCATGAAGTGTGGAGTTAGGAGCACCTGGCTCTGTCAGTGAATGCTGTTGGGGTTTGGACTGCAGTCAGTCTCCATTTATCAGAGACGAGCTGCAACAAGCAGAACATCAGAGCCGCTGATGAAGCCACCAAGCATTATATATGATGGAGTGCTTCACACCCCGCTGCGTCCTGAGACAATTACACTATAATTACACTTATGGTGCGTGATGGACCTATAATCACCTAATCACATCGATCAAACCCACGCAGCGCGTAGTGACGCGAGCCGCGCACACCTGGATCCTTTGCTAAATGGTCAGAAACACCTTGAAACAGTAGGATGAACACACATCGTGTCTGCCTGCCATTAAGACAAGCAGCCAGGGAGGTATTGATGTGCCATGAGATAAGAAGCGCGCGCGCGCGTCACGCATTCACGCGCAACACAACAGGTGCAGCCACGATCACCGTGTCTGCAGGCGTGAGGAGGAGCGACCTGCGGGGTGATCACCTTCATCACCTTTAACGCCCTCACTCAGAGGGAACCATACCTGCAGAAGGAGCTGCTCCCCCCGGAGTCACAGTCCCCTCCCGTTCCGTTAGCGCACCGGTTGTTGAGCGGCTGGAGCTGCTTTCAGTTGCCGGAATGTGTTTAGTCCGTTTGCATCCGTCCTGTCCTCTGAAGGAGTCCGTCCAACAGTCCAAGATGGACTCATTCAGTCTGGGTGTTGGACCTGGCTCCGTGAATCCACCGGTGTGTCATGTGCCCCCCTATTTACTTTTCAGATACTTGTTTGGAAAATATCAACTGGTTAAGGTTAAAACGTTGTTTGGATTTCCCCCCCCCAATTCAACATAAAATAATAAATTGAATCTATAATCTCTTTAGCACCGACATTTGCAGCAGTTTGTTGCCCAGACGGACGCACCCGCAGCCGCCCACGGGTCTGTGTCTGAGATGCGCTGCTTCTCCTGCGTCTTCTGCTGCTGAGGATGATCTTTCCTCCTCTACTGATGGATTCAAATTCAGTCTGCAGCTGATAGAGAGGAGAAAAGCTCGGAGATGAGATCGTCCAAGCCGCCGATTAAAGAGAAGGAATCTCCCGCTGCTCCCGGTGACAGATTTAACCCGTTTAATGTGTTGGTCCTGCCCGATGAAGGAGGGGCCACGTTGGGACCAACCAGCGGCTGATTGTCAGAGGGAGCTCATCTCAGGTGTGTCTGTGAGTGACTTGAAGGAAGGGAGGAGGAGGAGAGACCGCGAGGTCCGAGCAATTAAGGTTTAAGTGGATCAGTAAAGTACCAACCTCTCTCTCTCTCTCTCTCTCTCTCTGGGGGTGTGTATTTTGGTGAATGTGTTTTCATTTAGCCATTCTTCACAGCTGGATGAAGCATTGATGTCCAATTATGGTGTTTAGGAAATGACATCAGAGGCAGTATATGATGCAGTGTTTAGACCTCTTTTTTCCCTTCCTTATTCTAATCTTTATCTTTCTCCCCATCTTCATTGAATCTTGATTCTGTTTTTAGGTACCTTACCACTGAACACCTCTACAAAGTTGGTGAAACGTTGTTGTACAATCCAATCACTGAAAAAGTAATGCAACCATTTTTGGCATTTACTTAATTACATTTAATAACGTGAAGGTGAAGAATGATGAAATGATGAAGTTTGTATGTATGGGGCACATTTCAGGTCGTTTGTCTACGGCAGTGGCGGCGGGGATGGGGGGTGGTATAGGTCGGGGGGCTGGGGTGTTGTACTTCATATGGGGTCCACCCAGATAATGTTGCCTACGGGCCTATTGTTGTGTCATTATGCCATTGCACTTCACCTTGCCTGCTGATGGTCTGAAAGACTGGTGGCACCAGTGTATGGCAGCTTCACCTCAGTCATTGAGCCCCAGGGCACCTCTGCGGCTACAATATAACTTGCAACCATATGTGTCAAGGTGGGGGTGGAGGTTTGACAGGAGGATCTAATGCAGAATGAAGCTGAAGTGCTTTCTTGAATATTTAATTAACCAAAAAGTTCAATAGAAGCAAAAATCCAAAACATAAATCCACAAAAACTGAGAGCCAGGAATACTTACAAAAAGGGGGCAAAGAAATGACGACAAACCAACAAAGAGTGACTGAACAGGGGGAGAATAAATAGGAGAGCGAAACAAAGGCCAGGCTCATTAGCAGATTGGGAGCAGTTGTGGACAGAAGCAAGAAGGGAGCTAGGGAAAAGGAGACTGACCCAAGAGGGCAAACAAGAAAAAATAAGAAGTAAAATACAATGAAAAATAACTAGAACACAAAAATGGAAATAAGACCAACGAAAACTCAGAGATAAAACATGAAGAGAACCAAAACCATGACAATTAGCGTGGTGTAAATGACTGTATGGAGTGTAAATCATTTTGGTCAATTGTTCTGACTTGAAAAAGCGCTATAGAAATACCGGCCATTTATCATTTAACAATTTACCAATAAAAAAACAAAACAAATTTTTCACTCAGGATTTGTTAATTTAAATGCTTGGAGTTACTTTAAAAATACATTTTAGTTCAGTTTTATGCCCATTTTAATATCAATTATATAAAACAAACCTCTTATATATAGTAGTAGACAGCACAGTGCAGTCCATAATAGTAAAATAACATTTCAACTATCTGTTCTCTTTAAAGAGATGTATTGTATTCAGTCCCCTATACCTCTCGATAAATCCGATAAACCAAACACATGTAGATGCTCATTTGGCCTCTTCATTTGATTAATCTTTAACAATACCCTATAACAAACTCCAGGGAGGAGCTGGAAAAATTCATACCTCAGATTAATAATTCTGTTCACAGGACAACTATTAGTTGTTCACTGCAAATGCCTGGCATCGATGAATCACTGGTAAAAAATTTAAGAAAAGTCATGCAGGTGATAGAATATAAGCTCATAAAATGAGGTGTTCTGCTAAGATGAGATCAAAATTGAAAATTTTTGCATGCATACAGAAATGTTTTTTTTTTACAACAGGCAAATTGTATTTAACATCAACATCATCCCATACCCATGTTTTATATGGTGTTGGCTGTATTATGCTGCAGGGGTGCTTTTTCTTCAGTACATGCAGGACAGTTAGTCAGAATTGATGAATAGTGCATGGTTTTAAATGCATGGCAGTCCTAGAAGACGTTATGTTGGAGAATGAGACAAAAAGATCGTAGCAGAAGACCAACAGAGCAATCATAGCAAATATTCAACCAGTAAGGGCTTCTCAAAGTCCAGACCTTAATGAAAATGAAAATCTGCTCCAAAACTTGAAACTTGATGTTTAAAGGTAGTCTCTATCCAATCTGACAGTTGTATTACAAGAAAAATGGGCAGAAATGTTGATCTCCAGATTTTTTAAAGCAGGTAGAGAAATACGTCTAAAATCTTGCTGTGACTAAGGGGAGTTTAATGCTACTATACAATAAACCTATTTTGGTTTGTAAAAAAAAAAAAAGGTACAATGCTATGTATTTGTCATGATCAGAACAGTAGGACCACGTATTCGAGGCAGCCGGACAGATTTCTCAAAACGTTTATTGGAAAAGTATCTGCAGTGAACAGCGTGGGCGTCTAAGGCAGGAACCTCTGCAGGAAGAGGACACAGGTTAGTAACCACATCTATCTTGCGGACGATGATAATGAACGTATGAGTCACTGACCTGGTCTTTTAGTTCAGTCCGTGTCCAGAGGATGAGGTTGCAGCTGGTCAGCTGCCAACGTGGTGAGTGCTACGCAGAGAGTCCCAGACATTGATGTCCCAGAAGACAGAGAACAGGCAGGAGATTGAAACCGAGCAGACAAAGGAAGGCAGGATAATCCAGAGGGTGAAGCCGATGCCTGTGTCGAGAAATGGTTCCAGGTTCGGGTCACAGACAAGCAAGGACAGGTCAGGAAAACAGATCAGAACAGGGACAGGCAAGCTCAGAGGTCAAAAGGCAGAGCGGGTCAGGATCAGGCAATTAGAAACACTTGGGTACACTAGAGAACTCTCGCCAAAGGCTCAAATAATCTGGCACTGACGACTGGTTTTAAGGCACGTTAAATAGAGGCTGAAGCAAGATGACCGGTAATGAGAACTGCACGGAGATAACAAGGTGAGCGAAATGAATAAACAGACCAGGCATCAGCGCTAAGATCATGACAGTATTACTATCTAAAAAATTCACAATTTCTATCATAATCTTATATTCTAATAAAGGAATAGTGATATATTGGTCACGGTGAACCACGAAGAAAGTAGGTTAAAAACAGAATAAATATATTTTATTATTTAAATATAAAAATGGATGCATTCATTATTTAATTTATTTAACTGAATACCCAAATTGAGATAAAAAAAAAAATCCTATTTACAGGAGTCACAGGACTAAATCAGAGCTAGTCCTTTCCTCATGCCTCTCTGATCAGAGAGGTGGGGAATGGGGAAAGGGAGCAGTTTATAGAGCTGGCCATTGTTTCCTTGGTATAGTCACTGCTCAAAGTTCTTTCCAACCTCCAATATCTTCTGCCCTCCTTATCTTGCTGATGTCTTTAGCCTTCTCTCCTCATTAACATACCACCAGCATCTCATTTGCTGCCAGCATACCAATTACATAATATACCCATCAGTGGGACTGCAGTAGCTCTATTAGAGATCTTGCCTTGAGGTTTAAAACCATGTTTCCAGCTCTGCTGTGTTGCTGTAATTAAAAGTACTTGCTGCACTGCATTCAAGCAGCTATTCTTATGCAAAGGGTTAACACACTGTGTTTGCACCCGGGAGCTATAACTGTGTGATGAGCCACCAGGCTGCTGTTTCTCACTGGAAGCTGAGGCAACAGCGGGTAGTTAAAACAACACAAGTGAGCCTGAGAGGACTCAGGGTAAACCCAACAAGCTATTTAAAAGCTTTAAACTGTTTGGCAAGAGATTATTTACAAATTAACCTACTTTGATAAATAAAGTAAATTATTTCTTACTGTAATCATGCCTAAAAGTTGAAGACTTTCTAAAAATAGGCTACTCTTTATTGTGGCGCTATCCGTGGTTCTGAAGGTGTTCTCCAAGCATGACAGAAGCAGGACAAATGAAGGTGAAGTATGTCCCTTATGTCAGCCTGTAGAAACAGACAGACTGCAATTCATCATTGTTCAAATTAGATTTAAGCTCTTTCAAGATGATTGTCCTCAAAGAGGACACAGAGGGAGCAATGTTTTTTTTTCCTTTCTGCACTCCCATCTAATAATACATAAATGAAATGGATTAATAACCACTGATATTTCGACAAATTTATGTTTCTCATACTTCAAAATAATATCTTGTGATCTCTGTCTTGTCTTTTTATCCAAAAGCCGTATTGTTAGAATGCTCTTTGAACCAACAAATGACCTTTTAAGGAAAATGAAAGAGGATAAAGGGCAAAAAAGTACATAAAGTGATAATTTTACAATCCCATTGGAAATAGATTAATTTCAGTGACCTAAAAGCCCCGATGGGTGGAAAGTTGATCTTTCATTGATAAGTTTTTCACTGGAATAATAGATGTGGCTTTTAACTCAGAAAAGAAAGAGGGATCTTACTTTTGACAATTCCCACAACTTTGGTACTTTTTGAAACATTCTTGCTATAACATAAATCACAAAATGGCTTAGTAACAAAGTACATTACAGACTTGGTGCCAGTGTATCAACTGCCCAGAACTCTAAGGTCTTCTGGCTCAAATAAAATCTGCATACCCAGAGCCAGACCCAAACAAGGAGAAACAGCTTTTAGTTCTTATGCTCCACTCTGGAATAAAACTGTAAAAGCAAGAAAATATAGTTCTTTTGGATTCAAATTAAAAACATATTTGTTAAGAGTAGGCATTAACTATGCTATTCAAACAATATTAGTGATGTTAATTTTTTTCTTTGATCATTTGTGTTTTTGTTTTTAACATGATAATTTTGTTCTACTTATTAAGTTTATTCTGTTTAATTTCTTTTGCTACCTTTATGAACCTGTAATTTGCTTTTCTTTTTTCCACACAAAGAGCTTTGACTTGTCCTAATGCTGAAATAGGCTGTATAGATAATCAGACTTTTCTTGCCTTGACTTTATGTAGATTAAAGCTCCATTGTTTACTACTTTCAGGGCGGTGGGGATTCAGTCACAGAAAGGTCTGCGTGATTTTTCACAGCTGTGCCTTAGAACAAAAACATTTTCATATTTGTGTATCTTCGTAACTTTAAATAAGCTCTATGTATTTGAAAAGGCTGTTGGTCTTTTTCTT